GTAAGTATCTCACACTTCTTATCAAACTGTCTGTACTGAGCTAGCTTGATTATCACTTCAAAAGTTTTTTTCTCTTACTTAATTGACCTCTCAGAGTTGATAAGACAACTCCCACCTGTTCATGCTCTCTGTATGTGTGTATATATATCTCCTCAATATATGTTTCACTCTATATGCATCCGAAGAAGTGGGCTGTAGTCCACGAAAGCTTATGCTCTAATAAATTTGTTAGTCTCTAAAAGGTGCCACAAGTACTCCTGTTCTGTTCTTTTTGCGGATACAGACTAACACGGCTGGTACTCTGAAACCTGTCCTAGATGGGAAGGAAGACAATACTGCATGCACCAAAATGATAGAAGAAGGGAAAAGGAGAAGTTGAGATGGAGTTAAGAGAAAAATAAAACTGAGATTGCAAAAACCTTTCCTTCCAGAATCAGGACTTCATGTACGTGGTTTACAGGACAGAAGTGCTGGTTCAAACAGGGTCTGCAAATCTCATTCCAAACACACAATTTGCACCCTTTATGCTAGTTTATCGCACTGGTCCTTGATAAATCCCGTGTCTGCATGAAAATCCCATGGGATATCTGCCAAATTGTAATTTAAAGAGATTGTGAATTTAGCTTTTTATTATTATTATTCTACCTGTTATTAATGCCTTTGGTTGTCACAAGTCAAAGTTTAAACATGAAATTTTTTTGCTGTGTATGTTATAAAAAGTTACTGTAACATTTCACTTAATTTGGAGAAAGAGGTTAAGCTGGTAAATTTCACTTTTGTTTTGCCTCAGTTTTACTGTGGTTCTCTTGCTTTAGGCACAATGGTTTTTGTGGTTAGATTCACATAACTTCAGAGAACTCTTTAATTTTAAAACATATTTCTATTCATATTCTATTACATGAAATCAGATTTTTATCATTTTAGCCCTAAAATTAGTTGACATGGTTCTTTTAAGCAGATAGCCAGGTTCTTCAGGCTTTATTTAATTTGCCGGATAATCTCCAAATATGTGACAATAGATGCAACATATATCTGGTTCATTCAGTATCTACGGATGTAAGAAAGCACAGACACTTTATATTTTAGTATCCACTAATCTTAAAATTGAAAGTCATCTTAGTCAGACTTGTAGAGCACTTTCCTTGCCTTAATTCTTTTCATAAAGAAAAAAAATATGAAAGAGGTGGGCAAAGCAAGTTTGCAAGCATGGTCCAAGATCAGTTGGGATTACTTTGTTGAACACAGACATGCAATTTATTATGCTTATCAGTTATCCTGGATAGTTCATGTTTAGTGTATGAGTAACAGAAGCTGCACAGAGTTCACAGCTACTGATTAAAAAAAGTCACATCCATAACAATTATCTTTACATACTGTACATGTATTTACAGTCAGTAAAATAGCACTGGACCTACAAATCATTTTAGCTTATATCTCTGCTTGGTTTACCCAACAATAGAGATACCAGCCCAAGATCCAAGTTCAAAACAAGAATTTAAAAATTACAGAGTTTTACAATTAGTTTCAACTGGACTTTTAAAACTTTTTTTTAAATAAAAGCTACATACACTTTATATTTAACAATTTAAATTGCTTTGATGGGGTAAATGTACATTTATTACCATATACTTGAATGCAAATTACACATGCGATCTTTGTTTGGTCAGCTAAGATTCAGTGTACAATAGACGACATATTCTTGTAAAGTAACTTATGAGATGTATTCTTGAAGAGCTCTGAGTAGATGTTGCACATGAATATCTTCAGTTACACAAGTTTCTGATATTTAGTTGAATTCTATTTGATAACGGTTCCCCATTCAGTCAATGTGAACAATGTGTTATACAGGGTGAAAGTCTAATGAATCTCTGTCTTGAAATACAAACACAGTTTTCATCCTGGCCAGATGGATGTTAATCTGTCAATAATTTGAAAGACTATTCAGTTGCCTCTTAACAATATTTACACTTTCTTGCTTTAAAAGCAGACTGGGTTAAACTCACTCTAGCACCTTCAGCCAGGGAAAATTGACTGGCAAACACAGGATCCAGTCCTTGACTTTAGGGTGAGTACGGTGGAGGAGAGATCAAAGCGGCATTTGAACTGCTAGGTTTTGAGAGGGAAAATACTGAAGAAGGGGAGGATGCTAGTCATCATAGGAGACAAAGCTATTGTATGGAGGCTCTTACTCCCACCTCCCAATTAAACATTACAACGTTCATACAGCATCTAGCACAACCGAGTCCTGATCCATGAATGGGGCTCCTAGGTACAACTGCAATAATAATTAATATTGATGAAATGCTGATGTCACCTCTGTCCCGGAGGGTGTAATGGATTTTGTCACACCTGAATATCAAATTGGTCGCAGATTAAAGGACTGGGAGCTAAAGGGCTGGCTGTAAGATTCTACTTGGCCTGGAGCTAAGAGATGTGACTCTTGACAGGCTGGGAGGTCAAAAGGGTCAGAATTAAAAAAACAAAACAAACCCCTCAGAAATGCCATGTATTTTTTATTAGGGCTGTCGATTAATCGCAGTTAACTCATGCAAGTAACTAAAAAAAAATAATCATGATTAAAAAAAGTAATCACGATTAATCGCAGTTTTAATCACACTGTTAATAGAATAGCAATTGAAAGTTATTAAATATTTTGGATGCTTTTCTACATTTTCAAATAAATTGATTTAAATTACAACATAGAATACAAAGTGTACACTGCTCACTTTATATTATTTTTACTACAAATATTTGCACTGTAAAAATGATAAACAAAAGAAATAGTATTTTTCAATTCACCTCATACAAGTACTGTAGGGCAATCTCTTTATCGTGAAAGTGCAACTTACAAATGTAGATTTTATTTTCTTACATAACTGCACTCAGAAACAAAAGTGTAAAACTTTACAGCCTACAAGTCCACTCAGTCCTGCTTCTTGTTCAGCCAGTCGCTAAAAGAAACAAGTTTGTTTACATTTGCAGGAGATAATGTTGCCCTCTTCTTATTTACAATGTCACCCGAAAGCAAGGATAGACATTCGCACAGCACTTGTAGTCAGCATTGCAAGGTATTTACATGCCAGATATAAAAAATTTTATTAAAGTGAACGTTAAAAAAAATTATATAATACATAAGTTGGAAAAAGAGTGTCTGTACATCTGGGTATAGTGCTTAGATTATCCACAAATACAAAGTTAGTTTTTTAAAAGTCATATACATAGAGTATATAATCCACAATAACCCAAATGTAGGGGAATAGATTTAACAATACAGTTTTGATATTAAAATCCGAATACTCAGGTACATCACTCATGAAAAGTTGTACAGAGATTTGGTTGTGGAAAGCAAAATATATCAATGAGTGAAGATTGCCCCTCAGTACCTGAGAATTAGGTTGGTTGTCCATTTAGAAAATACAATTCATGAGGAAAGTATTTGTTACTTTTCTGACTGCGCTTCTCATCGGCACTGCAGCTCATCATTGCTGATGTCCAGTGATGTGTTCTATGTAGATGTCCCTCAATCACCTGATGGCGTCCGACACCATGAGTTGCTGCATTAGCCGAGCACAGCGTTGACCAATTCCGCAATCTCTCAGCACTCGCTCGTTACTGGGGTCCCATGCACCTAAGGCTCCAACGATCAGTGCATGTGTCTGCCCTGGTAACCCTCAGCTCTCAAGGTTTTGGCCAGAGGGACATATTTCTCTAACTTTCGAGCTCGGGCATCGTGGAAAGCCAGGGTCCTGTTCTCGAATGGTACCATGACGTCCACCATGATGATCTTCTTCCAGTCCTCGCTGGTGATGACGATGTCGCAGTTGGCTGTCAGTTCCAGGGATAGTGGAGTTTACGGCAACCTTTCCCATGGGTGGCGGGATGGCTCTGGCCAGGCGATCTTGGATGGCATTTGGTTGCAGCTGCCAAGCTCTCGAATGGGGCTTGCAGCTACACAGGACGTGGGCTCATTGGCATAGCCGCACTTCCTGCGTCGCTTGTCCTGATTCCTGTGGCAGACGGCTTCGTTCAGTGGGACGCAGTTGAGCAGGGCCCTGCGGATGAACCTCCAGTTGGCAAATCAGGTGAAGCTGCCCCCAGGGAGGAAGTGGTTGCTGGCGTCCCATTTGCAAGTCACCTCGAATGCCTTCACCTGGTCTGGCTTCCGTTTTAGGTTTTCCACGTATTGGCAGTGGATGGTATCCTTCAGGGTCCTCTCCAGCATGGTTCTAGTTTTCTGAGTGACGATAGTGTCATCTGTATTCTTCACCTGTGGCACCAGGACTCCCAGCTCCTAGCGTTCCTCGCACCACGTCCAGTGGCAGCTGATAGGCTTCTCCAGTCGTCGTGTAGCATTGTGGGCACGAGTCCAGAGCGAAGCAAAGTCTCCCCTGTCTCTTCCAAATTCACCTTCCAGCGAGCTGCTCAGGTAGGTGGCGACATCTTGGTTGGAGGGGGTCCTGGCGATTTGCTTCTTGACAGCATCCTTTAGAGCACTCTCTGTGATGTTCCTCACCATGGCGTCCGGGCACGTCAGAAGGCAGAGAGTGTGAGTGATCATGGCAACGTCGCACAGATCAGCCATTCGAGTGATTTTGGCACCGCCCTGCCTGTGCGAGATGTACACCAGTTCATTGCTGGCCCCTGGGGAAGAAACATACACTTCTTCACCAGCTGCCGGATGGTGTTGTCTGTCTTGTTCAGAGGTACCTTCATCACGGCAGATCCCCTCAGGATAAATGAGATACGGGGGATCAGGAAGGTATTCAAGGCATTGATCTTTTGCCATGGTGCCAGCAGGGAGGAGTCGATCCCGGTCACATCTTGTAGATCTCCGCATTGGTATCCTTATTTACAATGTCTCCTGAAAGCGAGAACAGACGTTCGCATGGCACTTTTGTAGCCAGCATTGGAAGGTATTTACATGCCAGATATGCTAAACATTTGTATGCCGCTTCATGCTTTGGCACCATTTCAGAGGACATGCTTCCATTCTGATGATGCTCGTTTAAAAAGTAATGCGTTAATTAAATTTGTGACTGAACTGCTCAGGGGAGCATTGTATGTCTAGTGCTCTGTGTTTTACCTGCATTCTGCCATATATTTCATGTTCTAGCAGTCTTGGACGATAACCTGGCATGTTGTTCGTTTTAAGAACACTTTCACTGCAGATTTGACAAAACGCAAAGGTACCAATGTGAGATTTCTAAAGACAGCTACAGCACTCAACTGAAGGTTTAAGAATCTGAAGTGCCTTCCAAAATCTGAGAGGGACGGGATATGGAGCATGCTTCAAGAAGTCTTAAAAGAGCAACACTCCGATGCGGAAACTACAGAACCCGAACCACCAAAAAAGAAAATCAACCTTCTGCTAGTGGCATCTGACTCAGATGATGAAAACATGTGTCAGTCTGCACTTCTTTGGATTGTTATCGAGCAGAACCCATCATCAGCATGGACACATGTCCTCTGGAATGGTGGTTGAAGCATGAAGGGACATATGAATCTTTAGCATCTGGCACGTAAATATCTTGCAATGCCAGCTACAACAGTTCTATGCGAACGCCTGTTCTCACTTTCAGGTGACATTGTAAACAAGACGCAAGCAGCATTATCTCCTGCAAATGTGAACAAACTTGTTTGTCTGAGCAATTGGCTGAACAAGAAGTTGGACTGAGTAGACTCATAGGCTCTAAAGTTTTACATTGTTTTGTTTTTCAATGCAGTTATTTTTTGTACATAATTCTACATTTGTAAGTTTAACTTTCATGATAAAGAGATTGCACTATAGTACTTTTATTAGGTGTATTGAAAAATACTATTTTTATTTTTGCAGTGCAAATATTTATAATAAAAATAAATATAAAGTGACTACTGTACACTTTGTATTATGTGTTGTAACTGAAATCAATTTATTGGAAAATATGGAAAACATCCACAAATTTATATAAATAGTATTCCATTATTGTTTAACAGTGCAATTAATCCCGATTAATTTTTTTTAATTCCTTGACAGCTCGAATTTTTATTTTTTGTGGGCTTGTCTATATAGGGAAGTTCAGATTAAGGTTGGATTTAAATTTAAAGTTGTTCTTGATTAACTCCCTGTGTAGATGTTTTTAATCTGGAATAAAAGTGCCTTATTCTGAATTAGCTTAATCTAAAATGGGTTAAGGGAGTTAATCAAGAATAGCTATTCTGCTTTAAATTCACGCTTTACCTTAATCTGAATTAATTTCCCTGTATAGACAAGCCCACAGCAAATAAAAATACATCATATTTCTAAGAGTTTGTCATAAGGAGAACCTATCTAGCTGAATTTGACAGTGTTAGATTAAATACTGTATACAGAGCCTATGTCTATTCCTCTCTATTCTTAATTAAACTTACACCCCCTGAAATGTATTTACATTAAAACACCTTTATGCTGGTAGAGCAGTGTAAAGGGACCTTGTAAATGAGCATCAGACTTTTGAAAACTAGACTGTTTGGGAACTCCAGGCAGATCATCCCAGGGAGGTACAGCAACATTCAGCCTCTAAGAAGAGGTAGCGAAAGGAGAGTGTCTGAAACCTCCAGCACTCCGGCTTCTTGGTCAAAAGGGCACAGGCTGGGGAGCTCTCTCCTATAAAGAGTGTTTCTTGCACTATCACAGACATACAGGGATACCAGAACTACAGACAAGAACCCAGTTTCAGAAACAATGGGAGATATTTTTATACCTGTGCAAAAATCAGAAATGCAGTTATGTGACTTGCATGTGGTAGGGCTTGTTCTTTTTCCCAGTTTAGCCAATGGAGGTTTTGTTGTTGTTTTCAGTGGGAGCTAGGTACAGCCCCAAATGCCGGTTCCACATGCACAAATTAATAGTCTGTGTCAAAAATCTGACCCACACTGGCATGGATTTTTAGACAAGGCAGTTGAAGAACTTTACAAATGGCCTTAGCAAGCTGATACTCCAGCCAGTGACCTAGGACCCGAGAGGGAGAATGTTTGCAGAAGAGCAGGTGTAGCAGGGTCCTGAGAGTCAGGCAGGAAATTTAATGGCAGAGCAGAACTTCTTGCTGCTGAGGACTCCTGTTAGAAAGAGACTGTTTATTGCACCAAATTAACACACATGTAAGGAGGGGAAGGAGAGAGATGGAGGAAGCAATGAATTTTGAGATGGCATGTTTGGGGAAGGGGATTAATTGCTCAGTGACTGGGGCCAGGAAAAAGTACATGGATTCAATACAGAATGGGGACAGGGCAGGAGGACCCTAAGGGATTCAGGAAACTCCAAATCTCCCCAGCTTCCACAGGAGAGACAAAAAGAGATGAAGGCTAGAGGCTCCCTGGTAGTGTGAAGTAGATGCCTCTTTCCCATGCAAGGGGAGAAATACAGACCTTCAGTCCTCCTCCCAAAAAGACAACTTCAGGTAAGGAGCGGGAAGAGGAGATTCTCTGGGGAGGGATGGGTTCACGATGGAGAGACATGTTTGCTGTGGATTCTGGTTGCTTAGCTGAACCGTTAGTGAACTAAACTACCCACAAGAACATAACCTGAAATTCCCCATGATGTACTTCTTCCCTTCTCTCTCTTCCGCCCGCCCCCCCCCCCCCCCCCCCCCCCCCCCCCC